TTATCTCTAAATACTTATTTACAATTAATTACCTAATACCCTTCAAATCATTTCATTCAGTTAGTGAGTATAAAGATAATTTATTAACGTTAATCAGTTTCATTAAAATCATGAACATAAATACTTATTCATAAATACTTAACTATAAATACTTATTTACAATTAATTACCTAATACCCTTCAAATAGTACGTGAGTATAAAGTTGATTTATTAACGTTAATCAGTGAAATTAAAATCATGAACATAAATACTTATTCATAAATACTTATCTCTAAATACTTATTTACAATTAATTATCTAATAACCTTTATATTATTCAATTTACATTAATTTAGTCGGTGAGTGTAACTGTAATTTTAAAAATTAACAATAGATTTTAAAATAAATAATGAATATAAAAAATTATGATTTCAAAGGGATGATAAACACGGTAAATGTGTACTCTGTAAAGAAAATAACACTCAACCAGCATGGTGTTTGACATGTGATACTGATATCGCAGCACAAGGATGGACAAGTATGAATAAAGATATTGATGATTGTATTAGAAAATTTCAACTTAAAGCCTTGAAATATGATGATGCAATTGAATGGATTCCATTTGATAGATTATCTTATGTTAAAGAAATTGGTAAAGGAGGATTTGGCTCGGTTTATTCTGCAGCTTGGTTAGATGGCATACGAAAGGTTGATGGTGATAAAAATAATTATAAAAAAGCACGTAAAACATCCAGTACTGTTGCACTCAAGACCCTGTCCAGTTCTAAAGAAAATAATTTTGACTTTTTGAAAGAAGTAAGTTAATTTGTCACTTATATAATGTTTATCTAATAGTTAGAACTAATTAAATTTATAAAAGTTTAAAAGTCTTATGATATGTAAATTAAATTCTTGTAAACTTGCAATATATGGAATAACTCAAGACACAAAAACAAATGAATATTTGATGGTCTTTCAATATGTTGAAAATGGAAATCTTTATAGATATTTAAGAAAAAATTTTAGAAAACTTACATGGCAAAATAAACTGCAATTACTTAAAGATATTGCAGATGAGTTATGGACAATTCACGCTAATACAAAATATATTCATGCTGACTTTCACAGTGGCAATATTTTGCATGACTGGCGAAATAATGAAAATGCACAAACTTATATCGCAGATTTAGGATTGTCTAGAAAGCAAGATAAAAATGGATCGAAAGGCGATATTTATGGTGTCATGCCCTATGTTGCTCCAGAAGTCTTATTAGGAAAAGAATTTACACAAACTGCTGATATTTATGGCTTAGGTGTCATCATGGCAGAAATTTCAACTGGGCAAAGACCTTTTGATGGCCATAAATTCGATACTAATCTTGGATTAAAGATTTGTAGAGGAGAGCGACCAGATTTTGCTCCTGGAACTCCTGATTGCTATGTTGAATTGGCTAAACAATGCATGGATTTTGATCTGAAAAAACGACCTAAAGCTGAGGATGTCTATCGTAAAATTGAAAATTGGCTTGATCAGATAACAAGTTCAGATGAAGGAAATGAAATTAAAAAGCAATTCTTGGATGCAAATGAAATTATTAAAACGTTGCCAGTTATTTCACCAAGCCACCCAGATCATATGTACACCAGCAAAATTATTAGCACAAGATTAATTTCAAATGCGATTAAAGAAGGTAAAATTTTTTTTTTTTAATTTACTAGTATATATTAAATAAGAAAATCAACCATTTTTTTCATTTAGATTTGTCTCAAGCCGATTCTTCTCAAATTAAATTTTATGTTTCTAATAATTATTTAGAATCTTGCTAGCAAAAAAAATTTTTGAGGCTATAATTTACATAGTCATTTTGTTAGGAAATATCCAATTTATAAACGATAAATTATAAATAAATTTAAATGAAAAATAAAAATTTTAATTATCTTCAACTTTCAACCTGTAAAATATATAATTAAATCTTCAATCTAAGTAATCTTTTGGTTAGATTTTGTTCTGAATAATTAATCCTTCGACCTGAATAATCAATCTCTTGACCTGAATAAATGCTTTGTACAACAAAAAGAATTTTACTGTATGTATATTCGGTCCAATTATATAACTTTTATGCAATAAAGAGAAGAAATTCATATGAATCAATTTGATTATAGTGTTTGTTATCTATATTGTAAGCAGTGTTGGTTTCAATTAGAGTAATTGGACAATTGGATAATTGAATATAGTACAATTGTTTAATTAATAAATTGGAAACTCAGTCTCAAATTATAGATTACGTAATTAAAAAATCTTCCTTGGAATTGCAATTCTGCAATTGCGTAATTGGACAAATGGACTTATTTAGTATTATGACAATAAACCCAATAACCAATTGTCCAAATGTAAAAAAGTCCAATTGCCAACACTAATTGTAAGTAAGGATACATCAGTCTAGTCTGGTCTTGTCTAGTGGTATGTTTTGGTCTTAATAAAGACCGTGTCTCTTTAATACCTTTCTAATTTAATTGAATAAAAACAAGTAATCTATTTGTTATATCTAATTTGTATAGAGCTAATTAAAATTAGAACCTTTGGGAATTATCTATCTCAGAAATATTTATTATATCTAATCAATTGCTTGATTAAAGATTATTTAGTTATAACTTTTCATGATTAGTCAATTAATTTTATAAGTAGAATACTTTCATTAGAATTTCAAAAATTAAAAATTAATTAGCAGTTACAAACGCTCTAGGATGTAGTATGGATTTTCTGAGCACACGACAAAATGAGAACCACGATTAAGTGAACGTAACTGGTAACAAGGCGTTCTATATTAACAATTATTTCCTATAATATTATTGGACAAAAATAATGAACACACTATATAGTTCCAGTCAACTTGTGGACTGAGAAGACGACTAGTCAACTTGTGGACTGGAACACGACTAATTCAGTCCAATTGGCAACACTGGCTACAGGCATTGTTAAATATTAATAGTATAGTATAGCCTAATGTTGGCTAGCTAACCATGACTCTAATGTCTTCCGACCCGGAAATCTGTATAAAAAATCACCAAACCGCATACTTTTTATAATTTGAGATCACAAAATTCGCACGTCCCTGTAAACGAATGTATAAATTCATTATTATGATTCGGATCTGATTTTTTCTAATAAAAATATTGATATATAATGTTTTAATAATATTTTGTAAATTAAAAGATATATATTATTATTATTAACTCCATATTTGTAAATAAAAAAATATGTTAATATTAACGTCATACTTGTAAAAAAAATATATATATAAATATATAAATACAGTATTAACTCAATAACTATAAAGATTATCATTAAATTCATTTTGTAAACAAAAAAAATACTATATTGACTTCAAATTTGTGAATAAAAGCATATGCTATTAATATATTTGTAAATGTTAAATTAAATACGCGTAATTGTAAAAATTATTCATATATTTGTAAATACTCTACAAAAAAATTATATAGAGAAATAAAAAAAAAAAAAACTGGTTAACTAATATAAGAAAAATTTAAGTGAATATTTCAGTAGGAGTGACAGCATTTGAAATAACACTTCCCATCAAGTTTTCCGATTCTAAGAAATGAATAGGGAATGTAACTAAATGTCCTCGAATCTTGTCCAATTTTGCTTTAATATCACTAGTATTTGAAATTGCTGCATGTCCTTTATCAACAACTGTTGGATTTGGAACAAAGTCTTCATATTGTCTCCAATTAACGACTTTAAAAAATTTATAAATAAAATGTTATTGTCATTATAATTATAAATATATAATAAAATAAAGTAAAATAAACATATACCATTATCATCAGGAACACATTTAAAAACTGCTCTATAGATATCGGTATTATTTTGTGCAATTCTTTTCCAATAATTATAAAAGTCATCAGACAACGGATCCATAACAACTAAATCTTCTTTTGTAGGATGTTTAGATCCTGAACCGATCAATACTTCATCCAATACTGTTGTAGATGAAGCATCCCTATCATGCAATATTTCCTTTAATATATCAGGTTGAATAGGTGCTAAACTACTTTTAGTAATTGTTACATGATCTTGAGGTTTAAGAAGACCTAAAAATTCTTTGAAAAGATTGCTGCGTAGTGTATAAGCAAATTTGGATGCTTCATACTAAATAAATAAAAATGAACACTTTTTACTATCTATACAAACATAAGTCAACATAAAAGAAATTTTTTCGAAATAAATAAAAACCTCATGTCCGTTCATACGTGATTTAATAGTCTGTTTATCTTCAACAACAATCGCTATTTCTGAATCACGACTACCTAGCTGTGATCTGTCATTTAGATTGGCTATTTAAAAAATAATTATTATTTATAATATTCTGGATAATAACTTGGGAAATGATTTATTTTGTTGACAAACCTGAACCAATAATGACGTATTTGTCGTCAACAATCATCAACTTGCTATGAACATATACTTCCTCTGTAACATAAACATGCTTAGAATCTGAATGCATCATGCCAGCAGGCATACCCGGCTCGCCTCCGATTCCTCTTAGAGTAGACTTTGTTTGTTCATCAGAGTATGAATCTGTACTAATATCATTTTGGTGTGATTGTTCTGATATTTCACTTTGATTATCCTTAATAGAATCATCAGGTGTTAAATGATCTAACTCCTTATTTTTAATTTTATCATAGCCACGCAATGCAAAAAATGATATATAATTTTCCGGATCTATGCCAGCTTGTTTTATTTTTTCTAATACAGATTTACCACCTCGACAAATTGAAACATATTGCCAGTGCATCACCATGCTATAATAGAAATTTATATAAGTGTAAAATACAAATATAATAATGGTTTAGTTTACAAATATATAGCTGATAGTATATATTAGATAGATTAATTACCGAATCGTCCCAGCATCACTGGAATTTAAATCCGCCTCAAACCCAGGTAATAAAGGCATGATAACTATGATGCGGAATTTCTCGCCATTTTCATGTGCTTTTATTATACGTTCAACAATAGACTGTTTAAAAGACAAAATTAGTTAATTAATCTAAAGCTACTAGTTGTTTTATTTATTCATGTAAAAAAAATCTAACCATGCCAATCCTGTTTTTAACGGCATAATTTGGATCATCTTCTGTTGATGTGACTAATAAAAGATATATATATCATTGATTAGTATATAAATATTACATAAAATAATAGTAAGATTTCCCCATGACTCACCAAAGAATTGATTTTCAATATAAATGAAATGCTTAGAATTCCGAATTAAATGTTGATATGCGTTATAAATAGAACACTGTATAAAATTAAATCTCGTTAAATTAATACTGTTTTGATAAAATTATTATATGTTCATAGTTCTTACTTCAAGTTTAATTCCGCTACTCCAGACTGTACTACTACGTAAAAGTTGAACCTCGCAAGTTCCCCTGAATCTAGATTCATCACGAGTGCTAACATATTCACCTTTCGGCAACAAAAATGGCAAAGTTTCACGCTCAAATGATTTTTCTTCTTTTATGAAATTCCATCTTTGAACAAAATGTCGAGCAACGTCACGAGCTGGTGGGCCAACCTAATTTTCATAATTTAATTAATTATAATCATTAAAAAAGAAAATCATAAACATGATAAACTTGCCATGCCAATAGAAACATCATGCCAAGGCATGCGTGGGTAACGTGATTTATCAACTAATTCAGTTTGATGTTCAACGACTATTTATTTTTAGAGAAATAATTGTTATTAATTAATAAACGCAAAATTGTCATTAAGCCAAATAGGTTAAGTTTAAACTCTTACCGTTTTGAAAATCTTTTATTCTTGGATTTGAATAATCTTGACCGGGCCATATAGATGGGGATTTCGAATTTGAGGGCCAGTCAGATAGATCATGAGAATGAGTATCATAACGCCCAAAACATAAATCCAACCCTCCGATAAATGCTATACGACTGTCAACCACTACCATTTTCTAAAAATTTGAATTATTATAAATCATACTTATAAAGAGAGTTCACAACATGACTAATCAATTATTAGATTGGATAATACCTCATGATGCTATACAAAATATATAAAAATAACGATTTAATAATGTACGATTTAAACAAAATATATGTTGAGGACTTGTAAAAATTACTTACCGCCCAGAATATTACTCCTTCAATACCATGATCAGGATGTCTTTGTACTAAAAAGATTTTTTACACAAATTAAAATAAAATAGATAACATAAATATTTCGACTTTAATTTGATACAAACCTTTAATATTTTTATGAAGACCTTGAAGGTAAAATTTGGTATGATGAGAATCCAAAGGTAAGGCAAGCCTAACCTCTTTATATACGATAATGTAAATCATCACGCCTTCTTCAGCCTTTTTTTGTAATAACTTGTCTAATCGAAAATCTTCATTTTCAGAAGGTGGCCGACGAAGATACTAATATAAATTATAATTAGTATAAATTATTATTATTATTTTTTTTTTTTAAAAAAAAAAATAGATCGAAGTATAATAAACAATTAAGGAGCAACGTACCAATTCAGGTGATAACCACCAATCTTCAATATAAATTTCCGATCTTGCGGCCAATAAAGCCTGTGACACAGCAAAGAAATAATCTTTACCATCAACATACCATTTAACTCTTGCATTCTCTCTAATGGGAGCAAATGAATTGTGTTGATGTTGTTGAACCCATGGAGAAGCCTTTTGAATAGTCTCGATGCTGCTCATGAAATCGGCTAATTTATGTGAATCAGCTTTAATTTCAATTCGACGCGAACTATTTTTAATTTCTATACGATCATGAAATTGTAACACTTGAGAAATTCCTTGCGAAGACAATTTCTCGCATGAAAAATGTTTATCTATAAGGAAAACATCCGAAGGAGTTGTTGAACTAATGTGTAAACAAAAGGCAATATATCTAATTTATATAATGTTAAGAATTATATAATAAAATTATAAAAAAGAAATAAATTTATATGTATATATATATATATATATATATATTACATAATAAGGATACGAATCACGAACTATAATCCATCTTCGTTCCCATGTTTCATTTGCAAAATTAAAAGTACAAATAGGATGTTTAAATCGTTCGACTTTATTTTCCATATAACCTTCTTTACCCTTCCATCCCATATCTCTTGAAATGGAAATTGCACTAAGTTCCAAAAATTCGTAAAGGTCATATGAAACATGTAACGAAGTCTTTTCTAATAAACTAATTAGATAATCTTCTAATTCTTTTCGTCTTCCGAGAGCAGCAACATGATGTCTATCTTGATACGATTGTAAGAATTTAGTTTTGAACCAATGTGAAATTCCGGAGGGAAAATTTGGTATCAAACGTGAAAGTTCAGCTCTTCGCGACAGATTAACATGAAGTGTTATAAAATCAAAACCAGTTCGATTTACTACCCATTTAACATCACCGTATGATAATTCGATTCGAAAAACACTCTGCCAGTTATATGATAGCGGATCTTTATGAGAGTCAGTGATTGCAAGCTTATAAATTATTAACCGATACATAAAAAAAGAATTAGCTAATTTTAAAAGTTTTTTTTTTTTTTTTTTTTTTTTATCATAAACCGAAAAGAAATAATTATACCTTTAGCATACTGATAATGATAGGAGGCTGAATTTCCGATATTCAAATGGTAATATAAGTTGAAAGTTGTTAGAACAAAAATGACGATTCCTGAAATGATTTTGACATTCTTATTACAAAGTTTGACGAAAGAATGTCAGGAATACGTCATTGGCATATGTAGAAATATATAAAGAATTAATACCGCTTTACGCCCTTTATGATCTCTTTTAAACCATAAAAATGGAGCAGCTATTAAAGAAGTATTCTGGACACCGCCACCAATTTCTTTTAATTGTCTATCGTCACTTTTTGCAAATCTTGAGTTGAGAGCTGCCAGTTGGACAGCATTCTGAAAACGTGCTTTCAAATGTTTTTTTCGTTTAGATGATTCTGTAGATAAATTAAAATTAAAAAAAAAAAAAAAATTATTCAAAAATTATTTAATATAATATTAAAAACATTTATAAAACTTACCACCAATTTCATTTATTTCAGGTGGACTCAAGGAATCGTCAGTTTCAGAAATGGGAACACGTTTTATAAAGTCAGGTCGTTCAGGACGCTGTTCTTCAATGTAAGGAGCGGCTAACTGAGTTTCTGAGGGACGTACAGGTTCTTTATCTCGACGTGAACGAGATCTAGTAATCGGAGTTGGAGGAGGATCTTCACCAAGAACTTTATAAAAGGAATTCATCATGGTTTTTTGCCAAATTGGAATATCAGCAGGTTCATGTTCTGATTGAGAGTCACCTTGAGCCTTATCTTCTTCTAACAAAGCCAAAGTCTTTTTACTAAGTTTAACCTGTTCACCCGGTGTTCCCGGTATTTCGATACCATTTTGGTTACTGACAGGTGTTATCGTTATATCGTTCTCCATTGAAAGAATTAAAAATTATTAAGAATACTTTATTAACGTTAATAAATATTTTACACAATAAACCTAAAAAAGGAGATCGTCTAAAGCGAAGGAAATCATATGTCATGCGTATGGGAAAATCATATGCATTTAGTAATATTCTAACCAATCAAAAGTATTACATAAAATAATAAAAAATACTTAATTTATTTTTTTAACGTTAAATATATATACGGGTATTATTGAAGTCGATTGATATGCAATCATAAATTTTAAATTTAGCATTTTAAATGAATAATAAAAATAATAAAGCATATGTATATGTTTTAAGTGGAAACGGAATTTAAAATTTTTTAGTACTAGTGACTAAGAAATCTAAGAAAAATCGGGGAATTCATAGATTCCCTATGACATAGAATCGATCTGCAAACAGCAAAAAACAATCGTATTTAGTTAAGTACCGGTGATATCACTTTTGCTATTTTTGATACGTACTAGCTGCATCTGAAACAATAAATTAGGAAGGTGTAATACATTATTAAGAGTTAAAATAATATTTTAAATTTCTTCTTTCAACTATTGCGGTTTCATATTTTTAAATAAACATGTTTTTAAAGATTAATAACAAGTATAAAGCTATGGAAGATAAATTTATAAACGAAATTAAAATCTTCAAAATGAATATAAATTATCTAAAAAATAAACTTTTTGTTTTGTAATTATTAAATAGATTTTAAGATCTATATATAATATGAAATTTTGTACTTAATTCAAGAAGTATAACTATACTTGCTAGCAAAATGGCAAAACCCAGACAAATTCAAAAAAACAATTGCTATGGTGCAGGAAGTCTATACTCAACAGTTACACGAAGTGTTTCAATTTTTTAAATGGCTATAACTTTTTATCTAAGAGGTTTTAAAAAAATCTGACTAGTAACTTTATAAAGCTATATTAGCTCTATATATGTGTTAAATATCTTTTCAAAATCTCATTATTATAAAAAGTTGATGTATTTTGAAAATTGAAATTTTATATGTAAATTTATAAATTTATATATAAACTTTCGATTTTTAAAACATATTAACTCTTTATATGATGAGATTTTGAAAAGATATTTAGTATATATATAAAGCTAATATAGTTCTATAAAGTTATTAATTAGTTTTTTCTAAAACCTCTTAGATAAAAAGTTATAGCTATTTAAAAAATTGAAACACTTTGTATAACTGTTGAGTATAGACTTCTTGCACTATATTTATAAAAAATTGAATTAAAAAAATAGTCTTAAAGTATTACTAATATATTATATATAATTATAAGAATATATAATATTTGTTAGAATAAAGATTATTAATAAAATAAAAGGTTCAATAATCTAGTATAGTGGTTAGATTGTCAAACTGCTATGCAATAGATCTGGAATTCAAATTCTACTGTTAATGAATTTGAATAATTTCCTAAATCTTATAATATTGTTATAATATGAATTTTTAGTAATTAAATTTTATTATTTAAATTCTATTAATTATATTTTATTAATATAATATTTTTCTATTAATTTTAAACTATTTAGATATTTTTTGTATAACAATAAGCTACAAAACACCTTGTATAACTTTGTTTAACTTTGTATAACTTAGCATAACCTACTTATACCAAACTCTTTAATTCAAACAAAACTGCTTTTTGGAGTTTGTGTAATATTAAATGCAGATCTAAAGGACTCTATTTTGAGATTTCTATCTAGAGTTCCTAATCTAAGGTATCTAACTTGAGGTTCCTATCTGAAGTTCCTATTTTAGATTCTTAATCTAAAGTTTCTAATCTAAGATACTCAATTTGAAGTTCTTATTTGAAGTTCCTATTTTAGGTTCACAATCTAGATTCTTATAATTAGATTTCCATAGTAAGATTCCCAAAATTAAGTTCTTAAACTAGGTTCCTATACCAAGATTCTTTAGTTTAGGTTCCTATTTTATAATATCTAAAAAGCTATATAAATCTTGCTATTTCTATTAAGACAAGACAAGTTCGAGCTCTCTTCTTTTTTATAAGTTTCTTAACTTATATTCTTTTTCTAAAGTAATAGTTTCTTTTAGCCTCTTAAAATTATCTTTTTTTTGTTTTTTGTTTTTTTTTTTTACTTTATACAAATGCTATCAGCTAAACTTTATTAATTTTATAAATTTTAGAAGTAATACATATTGTGAAAGTATAATTAAATATATATATAATTTTAAGTTATCTATTTTAAGTAGTCTGCTCAAAGGTTCTACACTAGCTACTATATCTGAAATCTCTTAGAAGATTTCCTATTTAAACTCTCTGGTCCTATCTCACTTATCACAAATATTATTCTTATAGTTAACTATAACCTATGCTACTTTACTTTAAAAAGCATCTAAGCTGACATTAATTACAAACTTTATTATTATAGGCCTTAGGTCTTACTCAGATAAATCTTAACTTCAATGCCTCCTAATTAATAAGTATCATGATACTCAACTATACTATACTATATCCAAATCTAGTTTACATATATTCTTATTTGATATTTATACAAACCCAGTTCTAGCTATAGCTCTTTACTAGTTTAGACTTCTGTATTCTTCCAAATATTTTATAAGGTAAATTCTCCTAATCTAGTTAGCTGCCAAGCCAAGTTGGTATTGCTATAAAACCTAATATTACAGACTTATTTGTATCTACTCAATCTGTATCTTCATACTCAAAAATCTTTGTCAAATCAAGAGTTAACTGGTATGACTATTGAAATCTGTACTACTTCATCTAACTCAAAATTTCTACTATACAGATCCTCTGCTCATAGATCCTATTTTGATTTATTCGTATAATGCAATTTCAATATTCTATCATACTTCTAATATTCGAACAATATTAGTATAATATAATTTACAGGATTACAATCTCCAGAAATGAATAGAGTTTACTATAAGTTGAATATAGATATCTAGGTAATTATTCAATTCTGTTGATAATAGGATTTGAACCTTAGACCTCTTGTATAGTAGTTCAATAACCTATTTACTACACTAAATCACTAGACCTATAAAATTATCTTTTAAAACAAATTTTTTCTTTCTTAGTTGGCTTGTAATATTCAACTATTTCTTTGATTATTATTTATTTAAGTTAGCTTGTAATATCTAACTTCTTCTGTTATCTTCTCTCTTCTTTCTTACATCTTGTATCTTTTCTCTTCTATTTTCTATTATTTTATATTTTATCCTATATCTTCTTTGAATATTTTTTTATCTTCTTTCTTTATTTTTTTTATAAATCTATCTATCAATAAACTGTTTAAATTATAAACTAAAACCAAGTATTATTGCTTTTAAAATGATATTATTATCTTATTATAAACTATTATTATTAATAAACTTTATAAAAATGAAATAATATTTTCCGAATCAAATTCTTTCCGACGATTACTAAAAACAACAATCGGAAGAAAGAAAAATAACAACTGCCACATATACTGCTAATAATAACTAAATAATTAATTATTATTTTAGATAATACAAACTACAAACTCCACACTAACTACAACACTGCCCAAAGAAACTCAAACCAACAACTCTAACAAGAGGAAAAGTCCTTCCAACGACACAAGCCTGTCCTTTAAGGACCAGGCAACACCCA